AAGAGCAAAGATAAGAGGGTGAGGTCGTCTGGGGCCAGCTGTCCAATCCTATCATGTCCTGCAGAGAATTTGGAATGTGGCGTCAGAAAATTCTAAATTCAAACCTGACCTTTCAGAGCATCATAAAGATACAGATTTGTTAAAGTGGGGAACTAGAGTATATTTTAAATATTATACAGTAACTTAAATACAGTGATAAACTAGGTGGGCCTCCATTTGCACACTTATCCCAGGCCCTACAGATGTTAAGGATAGCCCTGGAGGGTCCTCTTTTGTCTGTGTAACCACTGTGGGCCACCTGGCAAGCTCACAGCATGCCTGCAGTGTAGGCTATCTTGTCTAATTCACACAACAACCCCAGACATTAGAAGTCCTGTGACCTCTGTGCTACAGACAAGAGGTGGGAGCAGAGAAGAAAGGCTCAGGCCCATCCTAAAACATGGGAGGGAGAGAGGCAAGCCTGTTTCCCAGAGGGCCTGGCACTGTGCTGGGCCACAACCACGCACACCCCAGGCACTCCCCGCACCCTCAGGAATGGGTGTTACTCTCGTATCCACTTGGCCTGTGAGGATGGTATTCTGGCTGGTTAATATTTTGATACTATTATAAAATATCATTTTTCACAAGAATGAGAACCCAAGAAAATATACTTACCTAGACTGCACTAAACACAGGCTGGTATTTAACAGATCTGAAGGCTACCTTTATAACTAATTCTTCTACCTGTAAAAGGACCACTTGGGTGGAGTGGCCTGAGTGTATAAGGAGTCAGTTACTTTCAGGCACCACTGACATTGGCCCTGGTTGCCCATCGCCCTGGATGTGGCTGTGTCACCAGGGCCTACTCACCTCAGGCATCAAGACAGTTGCAAGTTTATCACAGTCCTTGGAACCCATGTGGCAATACCCGGAGGGAGGCATTACTGCCCACCCCTCCCACAGCGCTGCTCAGTCTCCATTTCCTGGCCCAGCTCCTACCTCCCCCTGCACAGCCGATGGGTGGAATGGCCATTCGCCTCCACAGAACCCATACTCTATCCACCAAGAGTCAGATAACATAAAATGCACAATGATGAGATATCATTACATTTGTCAACATCGGGGGTTTTAGTTGAAAATAAAACTACATTGGCCATCACCAGCCTGACCTGGCCCCTTGGGCTCTTTCTTCAGGGACTTCTCAGCATTTGGAGAGGAGTGGGACCTTAACTCTTCTGCCACGGCAACAGAGAAAGGGGCAGAAACTTGGCTCCTGTCTCCTATGTTCTGAACTCTTTTCAATACCTGTATCCAGACCTTGGTAAGTGACCCCAGAGACCTCACTCCAGGTGGGTGATTGTGAAGAAAACAGAAGGGTATTCTGAGGAGAAATGAAATGAGATCAAAGGCAAGAAGATGAGGGGCTGGGGGAGGTGGGAAGCGAGCAGACAGGAGGGTGTGGGTCCTGTGCTTAGGGAAAGCACTAATGCCACAGACTTCCGGGTCTGTTACTGCCTTCAGGTCCAGACACACAGCTGCTGGGATATGGCCCCTTGGGGCCCAGACCGCTGCTTTGGCACCCAGGACCTCAGGACTCCATGCCTGAATTCCTCAAATCTAACTCCAGGGTGCACTCCTCCCGTGGGTGACAGTGACATCGATATGCACCAACAGGCGGTCCAGGTGTGTGGGTGGGGAGGATGAGCTTGGGCCGAGGATTGGGGTGTCCACAGGTGTGCACAGGGGACCCTTCCCAGTGTATGGAGTTGGAGTGGGGGTGGGGCGGGGGGAGGACAAAGGGCAGCAAGCTGAACAAGGTGGGGCTGGAGGCTGGAGGCCAGCCCTCCCCGACTGCCACTCCTGATGCAAATCCCCAGGGAGTCCCAGAGTCTTACATTGGATCCTGGCTTACCAGATAGGAATGTCTGTCTTTAAGGTGCAGAACAAAACACACTCTCTGATTTCTGTAAGCTTGATTTTTGACTTCTTTATCTTTAGACTTTGTTTGTGTACTCTTGCTCCGGTCCCATGAATATTAGGGACAAGTCTCGGACTCATATTGGAATCTTCTCACTCCTATTTGCCAGCAAGGTGACAAGGCCCACTCTGATCCTCTGTTTTGCCATCTACAATAATACCTACCCTGGAGAGTCACTGTGATGATTCCATAAGTTCTGTTTAAAAGAATGTAACACCGAGCCTTAGTCACCTCAGTCACATTCTCCCCACCCCCAAAAGCTGTGGACGGTAGGCTGGCTTGCCAGTCAACAGGGAGTGTCCACTAGAAACTCCAATAAATCAACTTTCCGCCATCGAACCCAGGTTACAGCAGTATTCTTGAAGCCACATTGGCACTACTTTCTGGCACATTGATACCTTGGATTCAAATTTCTGCTCAACAATTATCATTAAAAATGTGGCTATTTCAGCAAACCATGAAGTTACTTAGTGGCTTGATTTTGCAGGGACTGAGTGACCAGAGCTGAGGAAAGACTCTTTGAGGAACCATAGGCCCACCACGCCCCAGGCTTCCTGCGCCAGTAGGTGGATGAAGGGAGCATGTACTTGGAGTCAGTAATTACACTGAGCTGCGACAACGGTCTAAATAAGGGTGCTGAGCACTCAAAGGAGGGCAACTGGGTCATCTCAGGATCTCAGTGTGCCGGGCTAGCATCGGCAAGGCTCTGGCCTCACTTGCTTCTCTGGGAGTGCCTCGTGTATAGAGACATGGGGACCTACAAGAAGGCACAAAAGCAGCACAGATGGGGAGTGAGAGGGGGATGGGGCAGGAATCCAGAGGTTAAAGAAATAATACCTAAAATTGGAAACATTTGAAAAACTCCAGAAGAAATTTTTTAAAAAAGTTCTTTATCTCTTTCCGACCACACACACTCATTAGGATTTCCCCAAAGTTTTTGCATATCTAAAAAGAAACCACTGGTGCAAACTGCAGAACCCTCAACCTGGAAGGGGATGTGGTCCAGGTTTCCAGAGTCTTCTCACCTGAAGTGTTCACATAGGAAAACACATGCAAAAGTCTTTGGTGGTCACATTCAGACTGAAGGTGCCACAGAATCAAGTCCTTTAGGAAAATCCTTTCATTTTACAGATGAGTAAACCAAAGCCCAGAAAATTTAAGTGACTTAACACAGAGCCAGTTGGAAACAGTGGAATCGAACTCCGAGTCACCCTGACTCACCATCTAGTGGTCATTCCTTTCTACCACACCAGACCTCCCGGAAGAGGAACCATTGCTTCCGGAAGACCAAATTCATTCCCAGAAGTAAACTTGATTTACAGTGTACCTGGCATACATTAAGTATTGGCCTCAGCTGGCAAGTGGGTAAGCCTGGTCAGCTGGAGTTGCCCATAGGAGTGGACTGGAGAGAGTTCTAGATGTCTGAGTGGTGGAGTATGCCTGTGGGAGGCCTGACAGCAGCAGGGCCCAGGTGTGTGGTGGGGAGAAGGTAACTGAGCATGGAGGGTAGGGGGCCAGGAATCTAGAGGGCCCTAGATGCAAGCCACTAACAAATGAAGCTTTTGTTTACCTGCTGGAGTGCCTGCCCAGCAAACAGTGGGAACTGGCAAGGGTGGAGTTCAAAGAGATCAGGGCTGCATCGTGTTATTTTATATGTATTTATATGAGCCCTGTTTTGCCTAGCAGAATTGTCTCCAAGTCCCCAGGGCGAGGTTTGTTCGTTCTACAGGGAATCGCCCAGCCCCTTTCAGTGGCCCCCTGAACAGAGGCAAGAAAGACAAGCTGTGGATTAAGCCGTTCTTCTAGTGTCCTCACTCCTTCTCCAGCATTGCACTTCTCCAAACAACACCCACACATGCACATCTCCCTTCGAACAGGAAAAGGAAGTCCGCGGACCTAGGACTAGGGAAGGTGAAGGAATGGAGGGCTAGAGCTCAGACCTCTGAGCTCTCCCGGGCCAAAGCGCTTTCCGTCACTGACTCCGAGGGTGTAGGAGGATGTTAACTTTCAGATCCGGCAACGTATTCACTTTAACTAAGCCCCTTTGCAAACGGTTCCGAGTAGTCAGAATGGATGGTACCTGTAGTTGTGGCCGGAAAGGCTCCAGGAGGGCGGTGGTGGGGGGTGGGCTGTAGGGGTGGTGGGAGTGTGTGTGTGTGTGTGTGTGTGTGTGTGTGTAGACGGAAAGGCTCCAGGAGGGCGGTGGTGGGGGGTGGGCTGTAGGGGTGGTGGGAGTGTGTGTGTGTGTGTGTGTGTGTAGACGGAAAGGCTCCAGGAGGGCGGTGGTGGGGGGTGGGGTGTAGGGGTGGTGGGGGGTGGGGGGGGGAAGGGGAGGGGGTGGGGGGGGTGTAGGGGTGGTGGGAGGGTCAGAGTCACAGCGAAAAACTCTGCTTTCGTGTCCCAAAACCCTTCTACCCTCTGGGCTTGACCCCGCGGCGTGTGCGGGAAGCGTATGCACCCAGCCAGGCCCGCCCAGTCCCAGAACCCGTCCAGGGTGGCTCAAGATGGGACCCTGCCGGCCCACCCGCGTCGGCTCAGCGGGAACTCTTGACACCACAGTCTCTCGATTCCCAAGCACGAGTGGTCTCCAGTTTCTCTCTGGGGCAGGTCAACAACTGAGGCACCTAAGTAGGGTGAGGGAGGCGCCGGAGCCGTTTGTCCTTTCCTTCTGCCTCCCCACTAAGTCCCTGCTCCGCCGGGCGCTCGAGGGACCCGCTTACTTCCCCGCCTGGCTCCTGAGCAAGGGGTCCTTCAGCTGTCCCCTCTCAGTTCTCCCTTCTGGGAACGCGCCGGTTTCGAGGTGGTCCGGGAGGAAGACCCTGGGACCAGCAAGCCGAAGGGGGTACTTTGGCGCCCGGGCCGGAGGCCTGGGGCGGAGGGCGGAGGGCGGGGGCGTGGGGGGGTACCACAAGCTGGGCCAGGGAGGAGCGGAGGGTGGCGCCAAACTGGTGGGGCGGAGGGGACGCAGCCGGGGAAGGCGAGGCCCGCAGCCATTGGTCCCGACTGCCGGGGGTGGGGGGCGGGAGGAGGGTCGAGTTCCAGAGCGTGCGGCTGGCCCGCAGTTGCCCCTGTGGTCGGAAGAGCAAGCTCTCAGAACGCAGAGCCGGTGCCCGCCATGAGGGAGATCGTGCACATCCAGGCGGGCCAGTGCGGGAACCAGATAGGCACCAAGGTGGGTCGGGCGAGGGTCGAGTGGGCACTGGGCCTCTCTGCGGGTGGGCAGATTGCAGGCCTGGGGCGTCTGGGCTGGACCCTCGGTGTGGGCTGGGTGCCTCTAGGTTCCTGGATCCCAGTCCTGCCCCACGCCGCACCGGCACCCGCACCCGGGGAGGGCTGGAGGAGAGGCGCTGCTGAGGTGAGGGCGTCACAACCTGGGACCCCCTAGCCCTCATCCCCACTCTGTCTGGGAGCGGCCGCCGGAGGCTCAGGCGCGCCTGGAATTCGGCAGCCGTGGACACGGGCCGCCCCCCACCCCGCCCCGCCCAGCCAGCCCCGGGGTTAGCCGCGGGGCGTGGGGCGGGGGAAGGCGCCCTGGGCTCCGGTTCCTGACCGGGTGTCTCCCCTGCCTCGTCCTGCATAAAGTTTTGGGAAGTGATCAGCGATGAACACGGTATCGACCCGGCGGGAGGCTATGTAGGTGACTCGGCGTTGCAACTGGAGAGAATCAACGTCTACTACAATGAGTCATCGTGTGAGTAGTGTGGTGCGCCCGGCCCCTGCGGGCGACCTCTGGGATGGCCCTCCCCCCATCCATTCCCCTCCGCGACCGCGCCCTTCCCCACCGGAATTGGCCAGCCCTCTCTCGGATCCGGGCCATCTTCCGACTGGACCCGGCGGGTGCCTTCTTAGACCCCGGCCATCGCCCTCTAGAATCCCAGCCTTCCCGGTCTTCTCCGCACAGACCCGCGTTGGTGCTCTGTGTTCGCCTTCTCGGGAGGGTAGTTTTCTCTAGGAAAAGTTCACCTGGGATGCAGCGGGATGCCCGGCTCCTCCTTCGCTCCCGTTAGGGCGGGGAATTGCGCTGTCAGTTTATTTCAAACAGCCCAATTCTGCGCGGGACTGAGCTTTTGAACCAGACTACCCATTAGTGTTGTGAAATCAACTTAGTGGGTAATAGCCAGCCTTTTTCTTTCTTTCCAGTTTAAGATTACCTCTTAATGGAGGTTTTTGGCTAAAAATTTGAAAAGCACTCCCTTACATGACTTTTCTGGCTCTTTGCAGACCTCCAGAAAGACTACACTCCCTGGAAACTGAAACTAGACAATTCTGGGTTAATTGTCTGGTGGACTTTAGTAAAAATCCAGGCTGTGGTTTTATCTCAGTTTGGGAATAGTATTGCCCCCTGTCCTGGACATCTTCAATTGTAGCTATATGTATACATTATTTCTGTAACATTTTTTTTTTTTATTATAAAAGTGGTGCATGCCTTTCAAAACAACAAAAAGCCAAGACACTGAAAGAATGCCCAGGAAATGGCAGGTGCTACCCTTCTACACAGGGCATATATTCTGAGAGATAATCACTTTCAGTTTTTTGGAATGACATGCTGCTTGCCCACATAAGAGATAAGAAGAGCAGGATACATAAATCACTGGATTTTATTCATTAAGCAGCTATGACAAAAGGTCTGGAACAGTAGGGCATAGGAGGTGAAATTTCTAGATAGCACTAAGGAAAATTCCAGTGTACATTGCACTTCCTGTTAACCCTTAGGTCCAGCTTAGTTACACCCTTTCTTCAGTTGGGTGTGTGCATAGCTGGACAGGAGTTGAAAAGCAGTTTCTGTATGCAATCCTATTAAGCCCATCCTCACTGGGAACAATTTCTTGCCCAGGTGGTACAAAAGTGTACATACAATGAAAATGCTACCCAGCAACAGTCTTCATAAATGGGAGTGTCTCTTGGGAAATGGCCTGTGGAATGGTACCCGTAATGAGGTGTTCAGACGGTAGCTTGGGTTCATGTATGTTTATGCATGAGGGAGGTGCCAAAAAGCAGAAAGAACGTCATGGCAGCATGGCAATTTGCCGCAACAGATACAGTGTATTTCCATGGAGCTAAAAAGGCAAAACTGACCAACAGGAAAGAGGTGTTAGGATGAACTGGAAAATACAGGCCAAAAGTCAGAAGACCTGATTTCTCACCCTGCTTATTTATTCCTGGAACTCCCTCTGTCCATTCATGTCTGGGCTGGTTTCTTCATCTGAGCAATTCAATGGTGGAATTGTGTTCTCCCAGTACTAAGATTCTGTGATTCTAAGCGAAATCCTGCTCCATACATTCCAGGCAGATGAGCTGGTAGGGCTTGATCTGGGGAACTCCATTACTTTAGAAACCAGAAAATGACCTTTTGTGAGTTGGCTTTGTTCTCTTCTAGCTCAGAAATACGTGCCTAGGGCCGCCCTGGTGGACTTGGAACCCGGCACCATGGACAGTGTGCGGTCTGGGCCTTTTGGGCAGCTGTTCCGGCCTGACAACTTCATCTTTGGTAGGTTCCACCTTTCCTTTTTTCCTTATTTTTTTAAACATCAAAATTAAATTATGTGCAAGATTAAAGCAGCACATGACATAGAAAAGTTTAGAATGGAAATCAGCAGTCCACAGCCTCATCATAGGCACCTCTTTAAATTTTTTTTTTATTGGAAAGTAACCTCTGTATCTCTAAGCAAAATGCTTATACTGATAGGTCTTTATTTAAAAAAATTTATCTTAGACATTAATTTTTTTCCCCTTCATAAATTATTATAGTATGATAATAATATTGCCCATCTTTTAAACTTCAGTATGTTCTTCTTTCCTTCTAAAAACTGTTACCATATATGTTTTGTTTTATCACAATTGGACAAATCCTCTCTCTTCTTCTACTTAAAAAGAAAGTGATAATAATACCTGCCCCTCTATAAACTCCTAAAGAAAATTATATAAAATTAAATAAAGTGGCACTGTTAGTGTTACCAGCCTCCATCACCCTGTAGCCATGGTTTTTAGAGTCAAGGCTACTTCAAAGTATACAAATAAAAAGTATACTTTTGTATACAAGAGGATACAGAATCTTGAAAGATTTTATTGATATTATGAATTAATTCCCTTGTAGCAGAATTAGGCAGTGACTTGTTAGAAAAGTGACTCAGGAAGATGAATGTTCACAAAGAGATTATGTGTTTTCTGGTATCATCCACTTCCCCATCACCATGACAACCTACACAACCATGGCACAGGTTAAACTTCTGATAATAACCTGTTCAAGGGTTTTTTCACCTTTAATATTTCAAACAGATCAGGACTCTGTTGCCCCTTTTCTTACATCAGAAAACCTAACTTGCCAGTATTTTTATAGCCCACAAATGGGGACATTTATATTCTTTACCTGTCACTGAACTAGAGACCATAATGGCCCCAAGCACACATAAACAGGACTCACACATAAAGAAATCTGAAGGCACAATATTAAAATGTAACTTTCTGAACCCTGTTTCCACAGAGGTTGGTTAGCCAAAACACACATACACCCCCCAACTGCTTTTGGAGAGAAAGTAGAAAAAAATCACCTATTCTCTTGTACATTGTTTAAATATAAGGTGTTCTAACTTATATATGTTGCATTGGACTTCATGTAACATTAGTGTGTTTTATTTCTTAAAATGGATGGTAGGTAAGTAGATATTTATTACATTACTCTTCATATCCTTTTATGTGGTTTAAATCTGTCATAAGAAATGTTATAGATGAGGCTATGGCACCTGTTGATGCACTTTCTGAAGAAGGTCTCTAGTAGGACACTGGAGGCCATGCACCTTCTCTGCTTTCCTTTCTCCCTCTCCCAGTCCAGACATCTGCTCAGGAGCCAGGCCCCACCCTTGGCCATTCCTCCTGCACAGCTAGGGCCTTTTGAGGTTTTAAAGGGAGTCAAACCCTGAACTGATTTTTACATAATTGAATTACTACAAACTATTGAAGTTGAAACAAGCTAGTTTCTCAGAGCAGCAGCTTCAGCAATTTCTTTCATTTTATTTATTTGAACTGAATATTGGGAGTATAAGAAAGGTTTGGTCTCTTTCTAGGTGTCAATAAATAGGAATCAAAAAGTTTAAGAACAAGTTAGATAGACCTATAGTAATCACTTAATGATCTAATTTACTGTCCTTGTAAACCTTGAAAAATGTTAGAAATGACATTTGACATGTAAACGATCTCCAGGATTACTTCATCTCTGTTTCTTGCCAGAACATGTATACCTATTTTTGATTTAGAATATTTAAAATTTTAATACACTGTATTGATGTGAAATAGCTTTATTCAATAGTAATTTTATAAAATTGATGCTCTTTTTATTAAGAATTGTGAATTGCTTAAGTGAATATGCTTATTTTGTTAAAATAGCACATTTGTTTTGTGGAGTGGAAGGGTATCCAGAATGTATGAACATACTATATTGTTTGGCTAAACAGTTGTTTTTATGGCATTCTCCAGTTAATCAAAGAGGCAGGGTTTCTATAAATGGGAGATGGTTCATCCCACTGTAGCTTTCTAGATCATAGTTTCAGAGTTGGTAAATAAAATAAACCAGTGTTAGTCCCTTTTCAGATATAGTTTAAAATGCCTTAAAAAAACAGATTGGAAGTATGCATAAGTCTAAAAGTGAAAATTACCTGCATTTGAGATTTAAACATGGATATACTTTGGGGGGGGCAGTTTTATAACTATTTGACAATCAGCAGTTAGTTCTCATCCACATTAACTGTAGATTTTTTAAAGTGGTGACAGGTACATGGGTGACAAATGTTTAGAGCTTGTTTGGTGAATCTTTATCCTCATTACGTTTTCTGAACAACCGCATCTGGATATGGATGGCAAATTCCCTATTCCTTTAGTCCACCAGGCTCAACAAAGCCATCTGGGCCGATGGATGCTTTTTTTAAAAAACTCTTTTCTTCATAAATTGCTACCTGCATAGCAGTCATGCCTATTAGATAGTGGGAAAGAGTCTTGGCGGGGGGGGGGAATGAAATCCTAGAGAGAGAAACTTTCCTTTAAGCCTCTTTCTGCACCTGTACCTTTTTCTTCAAAATTTAGGATAGAGAGCACATACACAGCCTTCAGACTTATTAATCCATCCCTCAGGGTGAGCTGGGTGTAAACCAGAGGGTGGATTCTGAGAAAACCCTGAGGATCTGTTGCAGTCTGACTGCCAAAACTTAGAGATCACAGGCTTGAGTTCTACAATCTGGAGCCGCTGATTAATGTCACAACATTGCATTACAGAAGATGTTCAACTCATGACCCCCAAATATTTAACTGGGAACATTTGTTGCTATGAGACTGTGGCAAAATATTTTCAGAAGTCACCAGCTTCCTCCTTTTGTCAAGAGCAGAGAAAACTTCATGGCTAATCATGCTATAAATATTGAGGAAGCCAAGTGAATGGTGTGAGCTGAGGGAAGAGAAAGGGTCAAGCTCAGAATCTCTTTATACCAGCTAGGGTGAGCTTGATTTACTATGGCTGAATATCTGCCTAAAGCCACCTGTTTGTTTTCAGTTATTAGTTTCTACTCTATTTTAATACAATAATTTCTAGTCTTTTTGTGACAACTGCACTCAATCTTGACTTTGTACAGATGTGATAGTTCTGCACTGAGCCCCAGGTACAAGGCCTACCCTGAGTATGAGGCTAGCCCCAAGTTTATTCATCCCAGGGCCTCTGCCATGGTCTGGCCATGCTGCCATCTGCTGGGATGGGCAGGAGTTAGTGGGGACATAGGAAGGACAGTGACCATTTTCAAGCCTGGTAATAGTAGGTGGTTAGCCAGGTTTCACTGTGTGACCCAGCTGGGCGGAAAGAAAATGTAAGAGAACACAGCTACCTTCTAGTCAAGGAAATGGCCACGTGAGGGGACTGAAGTGGCCAGGGACTACAGGGTCGGATGCAGGCACAGAGGGGCTGTTTTTATACTTTGTTATTAAATAGATATGTTATTTCTGCATCGTTTATTTTGAGCCACAGTTCATGTCATGCCAATTGCCTTGGTGCCTTTTACCAGCCAAATGGGGCAAAGACCAGAGGAGTGAGGCTAGGCTCATTTGTAAGGTGGGGTTAAGACAGACAAGCACAGGGGCTGGCCGAGGACATTTTTTCATTGCTTTTAGAGAGAGAGAGAGAGGGAGAAAAACATGGATGTGAGAGAGAAGCATCAATTGATTGCCTCCCAGGTGCTCCCTGACCAGGTATCAAACCCCTAACCTAGGTATGTGCCCTGACCAGCAGTGAAACCAGCAACCCTTCAGTCATGGGACAATGCTCCATACAAGTCACACTGGCTAGGGAAAGAGTCAACAGTTTTTAAATTACTGAAATATTGAGGACTTCCAGTCAATATGGCAGCGTAGGCAGACATGGCCTGCCTCTTTGCACAACCACGTCAAAAGTACAACTAAAATATAGAACAACCATCACTCAGAACTGTTAGAAATCAAGTTGTATGGAAGTCTGAAAACTGTGGAATTAAAGAAACCACATCCATCCAGACTGGTAGGCGGGGTACAGACACAGAATGGGCTGGTCCCTCACCCACAAGTGGTGGATAAAAATTCGAGAGGGATATCTTGGGAGTGAGGAGGCCCACCTCCACACCAGGCCTCCCACCCAGCCCGGCGTTCCTATGCCAGGAAGATATGTCCGTACAACTTCTGGCTGCAAAAACCAGCAAGAATTGAACTGGTGGAAGAAACTTCTGGAGCCCCAAGCAGTTCTCTTAAAGAAACCACACATGGACTCCCTCTGAGCTCCAGCACTGACTGGGGTAGCAGTTTGAAAGGCACCACTTACAAAGCGCAACACTGAAGTGTCTGGCATCAAGGCAAGCAGAGGCCATTGTCCCCTTTCTAAACCCTATCTCCCACAGAACTGGCAAGCTGGTGCCATATCTGAGGCGCCATCAACCTGGCTAACACTGTTTGACCTGCCTTGGAGAACCCCAGAGACTCTGCCCCACCCAACTTATGGGCCCACCCGAGCTGCTTTCCCATATGCATGGCCCATCTTGGCTCATGCTTAACAACTTCCTAAATCCTCCCAGACAAGCAACAGCTGGCCTCAAGGAGCCCCAGGCCCAGTACTAGCAGCAGGCAGCCTGGATTCACAGCTTGGTTTCACCTGGAAATCTCCAAGCCTGGCACAAGTAGCAGCCATCTTGGATTGCTTCACAGCTCAGACAGGGTGCTCAGGGTAAAAGCCAGGTCGGGGCTGATCCTGGCCTGCACCGCCTGGAAAACCCCAGAGCCTGTGTACCCAGTGGATAGCTGCAGACCACATGAGAGCACCACCACCCTGCCCCCACACAGCTGATCCTCCACAGAGGGCGGAGGTTGGTGGTCAGTGGTCACAGCCAGTACTTGCAGCTGACTGGCCTGGATAAATACCTCCCATTGATCTGCCAACAGCAACCAAGGCCAAACTACAAGAGGAGGGTGTACTCAGCCTACACGAAGGGTGGACCTTGTGTAGCCAGCTTAGGTGATAGAAGAGGCTGTGCCACTGGAACCTACAGAACACCTACTACATTAGGTCACACTGCCAACACAGGGAGTCATAGCAGCTCTACCTAATACATAGAAACAAACACAGGGAAGCTGTCAAAATGAGGAGACAAAGAAATATGGCCCCAATGAAAGAACAGGTCAAAACTCCAGAAGAAGAGCTAAACAAAATGGAGATAAGCATTCTGTCAGATGCAGAGTTCAAAATACTGGTTATAAGGATGCTCGAGGAACTTAGCGAGGACCTCAACAGCATAAAAAAGATCCAGTCAGAAATGAAGGATACACTAATTGAAATAAAGAACAACTTACAGGGAAACAACAGTAGAGTGGATGAAACCGAGAAGCAGATCAATGATGTGGAACATAAAGAAGCAAAAAACAACCAATCAGAACAAGAAGAAGAAAAGAGAATAAAAAAAACAAGGACAGTGTAAGCAGCCTGTGGGACAACTTTAAGCAGTCCCACATAGGGGTGCCAGAAGAAGAGGAAGAGCAAGAAATTGGAAATCTATTTGAAAAAATAATAAAAGAAAACTTCCCTAATTTGTTGAATGAAATAGACATATAAGTCCAGGAAGCAAAGAGAATCCCAGACAAGATGGATGCAAAGAGGCCCACTCCACGACACACCATAATTAAAATGCTAAAGGTTAAAGATAAAAAGAGAATCTTAAAAGCAGCAAGAGAAAAGTTAATTACCTACAGGGGAGTTCCCATAAGACTGTCAGCTAATTTCTCAAAAAAAAACTTTGCAGGCTAGAAGGGACTGGCAAGAAATATTCAAAGTGATGAAAAGCAGGGACCTACAGCCAAGATCGCTCTACCCAGCAAAGATAACATTTAGAATCAAAGGGCAGATAAAGAACTTCCCAGACAAGAAAAAACTAAGAGAGTTCATCATCACCAAACCATTATTATGTGAAGTATTTAGGGGACCTATTTAAGAAAAAGAAGAAGAGCAAAATTATGAGCAATAAAATGGCAAAAAATACAAATCTATCAACAACTGAATCTAAAAAAAAACCCCAACTAAGCAAACAAGACAGAATCATGGATATAGAGAACATTTTGATGACTGCCAGGTGGAAGAGGAATATGGGAGAATGGGTGAAGAGGTGAGGGCATTAAGAAGTACAAATAGGTATTTACAGAATATCCATGGGGATGTAAAGTACAGTAAAGGAAATGGAGGAGCCAATTTACACGCATGACCCATGGACATGAACAATGGTTGGGGGATTGCCTGAGGGACTGGGAAGTGCTGGGTGGAGGGGGGCAAAAGGGGAAAAATCGGGACAACTATAATAGCATAATCAATAAGATAATAAAATTAGTGAGGAATCACAGGATTAAGCTTTTCTTGTTTTAGACTTCCATTAACACCACTGTGCTTAGCAGTCATAAGTGCTATGGGAGGTGAAAAGAAATGTAAGATGACTCATTCGCCCAAGATTAAAACCTTGATTACAATGCAGATTCCAGTAGTGCTCATCAGCAAACCTTAGTGTGAGGAGCTCCCACCCCCCGAAGTGCACAAGAGCCCTCCATGTACTCAGATGATGTAGCACAAGACTGGTCTCAAGAAGGAGCCTTGGTGGGGTCACAGCTGCCTACCTCAGTTTCCCCTCCTGGTGTGCAGCATCAGGTATGGACCTGCCCACATATGGAGCCGAGAAGCTGGTCTTCAGGTGGTGGTTGTGTATTCTCACCTCCAGCTGGGTGTAGGCTAAAGTCAAGTTAACATCTGAAAAATAAGTGGAGAGAGGTCTGTCCGCTGCAGTGCCAGCAGTGTCCTCCCAGAGCAGCAGTCTAAACAGGCCTTAGCATCTCCGTCTCCTTTTGCTTCTGTCCACTTGAAGCTACCAAATCAGCTGCCCACTCCTGCTTTCAGCAGTGTATCCTGGTCTCTTTCACTCAATATGGAGGGAAAATCTGATCAGGGGTCTAATGAGTTTATTTTTTTATACATGGTTCTTCCTTTCAAAGCCAGAGTTTGATATGCCCATTTACTAAAGATATAAAATGCTTTTTAATAATCTTCCTTGCCTGCTAAGTAATTTTGGCTATATATTACATTTCCTTATTACCAGTTAAAGGAATGAGAAACAGCAATACCTTGTTTTCATAGTTTATTATGAAATAATAGTTTTGAAGTTTATTATTAAATATTCAATAGATATATCATCTCTGCATTCTTTACTTTGATTTTACTGCTTTTCATAATTTACCTTATAGTATGCTCTAGAATTTAGTTCTCAGTGGCTTCCCTAATATTCCTTGAAAATCATTAACCTATTAGAATTTTAAAATAAGTCATGGTTTTCTGACAGAAAGTATGTCTAATTTGGAAGATGGTTCTAATAATGACTGCCTTTGCCAATTAGATTATATGTGTAATAGTTTTTACAATTCGAATAAGCTAAAATTACAACCTAAATATTTAAATATTTTTAAACATTCCATTAAAAAATCATATTGGCAAACTTGTATTGGTATTAATATTTCCATTTGCCCAACTTTAAGTATATTGGATTAAATAAAATGCCTTTGGGTGAAAGAGTTAGCATTCGGTAAGTCTTGGTAAAGCCTTTTGTTTCTTCCAGAACAGAAGAAAAGAATGATGCAGGTTAGATGTTTCCAATTCTGCTTTCAACAAAATTGAGTTTTTGGCTGAAAATATGATTAAAAATACTTTTTTAAAGAAGAGGAATGGCCGTAGCAACTTTATTTTTTTTCCTTTATTTTTATTGGTGACACTATTGCAGATGTCCCCCTTTCCCTGTCTTTGTCCCCCTGCCCTCGCAGCCCCTGGATCCCCTTCCCTCAGGGCATCGCCACACTGTTGTCCGTGTCCATGGGTCATGCACACATGTTCTTTGGCCAATCCCTTCACCTTCTTCCATCAAGTCCCCCTCCCCTCTGACAGCTGTCAGTCTGTTCCATGTGTCCATCCCTCTGTGATTATAGATCAACTATTTGATTTTTTTGCATGTAACTCTGAAGAAGATCAAATAATTGAATAACATTGTTAGAACACAGTTCATTCACATTTACATATTTATGTAAACATTTTTCAGCATATATTAAAATCAAAAGTGAAGAAATTTGATGCCAAAGTTTGTCTCATTATGGCAATATTTAATATTCATCTTTAGATAAATGAACTAATTGGAAAAAACAGTTACAATGATGTATTTTTAACACCTTATGATTATAGTAATTTAACAACAATCAGTTTCAACTTATAATTTATTCCTGATTCTTATATAAACTCTATTGGCTATATGTAACAGAGTGATGTACCAGTTGTTTTTAAAAGAGAGTAGTTATAGTACCCTAGATACTAAGATTGTGTCATTTACAACTATTTGAATTTATGAAAGCAAATTAGATGTCAACTTAAAAATGTATGAGAGGGTATGTAGTTTTATAGTTATTTTCAGTGCTACAGAGCTCTGTTTGAAGAGCACTGCATTACAGGAAAGCAAAAACTAAGTAACTCCCTACCAGTCCTCTATCACTTTTTAAGTGCGCTTTTTCATACACACACACAGGCCTGTATTATTTATACAGCTTGGGAAAGAGGCCTTCACTACCTATAAGACCTTCAATTTTATAATGAAACAAGCTGAGAGGATTTTAAATTTAAGAGGCAACCTTTCAGGTGCAAAATTTCTTCCATAAAGCAAGATACAAACAAGCAGGTGGGGAAATGCACCATTGTGCAGAAAGCAGACTAACTAGAAGGTCTTTTTCTAGTTACTTGAACTATTTGGATAAAAATACAAAAATCTTTCAGGTATGTTCACTTCCTTACCACCACTGGGCCAGAAGAAGTTTGAGAGCAGGAATCACTTCCTGTGCTGAGTATTTAATTATAGGTGCAAAGTAAATAGTTGGTGCTCAGAAAATTTTCCAACAGTAATTCTGGATGATAAACGAGGGGCTCCATTAACATGAAAAATACTAGTTTTTAAAAGAAAATGTTTGTACATAGTGCAAAGTTCAGAAAACTCACAGGAGAGGGAAGAGATTAATATATACATTTTGTTCCCTTTGAATTTTACCACATTTGAGAATTACCTATTTAAAATAAAAATGGAAATTACCTGGTCAAAACATATGCCCATCTTAAAAATTGATAGGTCTTTAACTTGTCTGAAGAGGTACTACTTCACATGCTCCCCAGTAGGATTGGTGGGTGCCTATTTCCTTGCCCACTGACTTTGGCCAACATCATATTATCTAATCGCTTCATAACACATTTTTCCAACACCACCTAAAAGTATTATTATCAATGAGCTATTCCTTTCTGTCTTGCCCTATTTAAATTGCATTCTATCCCCCTTTTGCTTATTACAGGACAAACTGGTGCAGGGAACAACTGGGCAAAGGGGCATTACACAGAAGGAGCAGAGCTGGTGGATTCGGTGCTCGATGTGGTGAGGAAAGAATGTGAGCACTGTGACTGCCTGCAGGGCTTCCAGCTGACCCACTCTCTGGGAGGAGGAACAGGGTCAGGCATGGGCACGCTGCTCATCAGCAAAATCAGAGAGGAGTATCCTGACAGGATCATGAACACCTTCAGCGTCATGCCCTCCCCCAAAGTCTCAGACACGGTGGTGGAGCCCTACAATGCCACCTTGTCAGTCCACCAGCTGGTGGAGAACACGGATGAGACTTACTGCATTGACAACGAGGCCCTGTACGACATCTGCTTCCGCACCCTGAAGCTAACCACTCCAACTTACGGGGACCTCAACCACCTGGTGTCAGCCACCATGAGTGGGGTCACCACCTCACTACGCTTCCCGGGCCAGCTCAATGCTGACCTCCGAAAGCTTGCGGTGAACATGGTCCCTTTTCCCCGCCTCCACTTCTTCATGCCTGGCTTTGCCCCACTGACGGCCAGAGGCAGTCAGCAGTACCGGGCCCTGACAGTGCCGGAACTGACTCAGCAGATGTTCGATGCCAAGAATATGATGGCGGCCTGTGATCCAAGACATGGGCGCTACCTGACCGTGGCCACTGTCTTCCGGGGCCCCATGTCAATGAAGGAGGTGGACGAGCAGATGCTGGCCATCCAGAACAAGAATAGCAGCTATTTTGTGGAGTGGATCCCCAACAATGTCAAGGTGGCTGTGTGTGACATCCCTCCTCGAGGCCTCAAAATGGCCTCCACATTCATTGGCAACAGCACGGCCATCCAGGAGCTGTTCAAGCGCATCTCAGAGCAGTTTTCTGCCATGTTCCGCCGGAAGGCCTTCCTGCACTGGTTTACAGGAGAGGGCATGGATGAGATGGAGTTCACAGAAGCAGAGAGCAACATGAACGACCTGGTGTCTGAGTACCAGCAATATCAAGAAGCTACGGCCAATGATGGTGAAGAAGCTTTTGAAGATGATGAAGAAGAGATCAATGAATAGAGGAGTGCCTGTTTCAAACATGACAATGCAGATTTTCTTTAACTCTGATGTGTCTTAATTCTAATGGCCATTGAATAAGGAACTGGTCTAAATATATGGGTACAGGCCCCTCCCAAATGCAATAAAATTGTACTCTCAGTCATCTAGAAGCAAGCAAGCACATTCAAATAGCAAAGACTTGGCAGTCCAATGTAGTCAGATCAGACTAGGGATATTTTCTGCTGGAGGATTTAAAAGAAATAATGGGCCGTCAATAAAGGGCTACACAAATAAACCTCACCTTCAGTTAAGAGTGCAACATGTCTGAGAATTAGCAGAGAAGTTAGAAACAGTGTTTTTTCATCCTTTGTGAAATGAAGCTGTGCAGTGTTGCCTTATATTGAAAATGCAATATTGACCTTTGAAACAATTTATTCATAATAAATCACTAAAACTGTTCCTTTGTCTCTGCCAGCCTCTGCTTATATGACAGATTTGTTACTTTGCAACATTGCAATGGTTGCTTGGATCTCTAGTGCCTTTCTGAATGAACTGCCCCTGCAGCTCACTAAAAGAACTGAGAGGAAAGAGGCTTTTCTTGAGTTACAGGCTTTAAGGGTGGTGGTCAGAATTCTAAGCCTAAAGGTAATGCATGTGTGATGAAAGGCCCTTCATTCCCATTTACAACCAGCATTTAGACCTCCCACCGAATTTTTCACCTTCCTACGTTATATCCTGGGCTAGTGGGTCTTAGCCTTTCCTAACAACTCAGCTGAGATTTGCCAGCGGAGCCACGGAAATTACTTCCACGCTTCCAGCAAGCTTTTGGTGGGTGAGAGGGCACCGGGTAGGGTAGTACAAGAGTTGCTGAGCTTCCTTCCATGAGTTCTCAGGCCACTGGCCTGACCCCATAGGGAGGGTGAAGGCTTTTTCTATGTAACAAATAATCACTTCTATGGTTCCTGTAAAGTAGCCACAACTTCTGTAAGAGGTCTTGCACAGTAAAATTCCACAGAACAGGACCAGGTTTTTACTAGTAATTGGCAGACATTAACAAAGTTAACTGAACCTGTGGCTTTGCTTAAGCCAAAATTATGTGAGGGGCATGCCACTTCCAGCTAGAAGCAAATGTTAGGGCTTGGCCCTCTGCTCTGCCTCCCAAGTGGGGACCCCAATTGCTCCTGTAGAGATGACCTGGCACTTCCATCAGTAACTGACCCCTGACCTTCGCTGGACAAGAAGCAAGAGAAATGATCCTTTGCCGTTTGCAGCCACTGTGAGATCTAGGGCCACCTCACAGCATGAACTAGCCCTGCCTGGTGCTGTGTTGCCACAGTGGACATGCAATAACTGCATTTGTTTTGTGCTAAGTAAGCCCCAGTCTTAGGCAGACAGCATGACATTAACTGAAGTGAGACCACACCTCATTTTTTTCAGGAATCTAAACTATTCTGTGAGATTACAGTAAAAATAAACCTTACCATCCCCATTTAACCTGGAAATATGTTGTTGATTGACCTTGAAAGAGAAAAGATGTGCTGAGAGCACTGGCTGTGGGCCAGGCTCTATTTAGGTCTCAACAAAGGTAACACTCATGACAGTGCTCCAGAGTGCAGGTGTGACCACGAGAAGGCCTGCTGGGGGCCACAGATATGGGTCACCATCTGACTCAGTCTCACACACAGCTCTGTCAGTTTTCTTACTGAATCAACATGACTCATAGTTGGCACAACTCACTTCCACCCAGGAGGCCCCGCAGGTGAGAGAAGCCAGAGTAGCACACACTGGCGTCTCTGAAGTGGAGTGGGGAAGGAGTACAGGGCATCTCCTCACTGTCTGCTGCTTATGTGGAGAACAGTGCACTAGACATCCTGATGGCAAGTGAGTCATCCTGCAGCCTTAAAGCAACTCTTCACTCAACTACTTCCCACAAGCATCCTGAGGAAAGGAGACAGTCAATGCGTGACTCCTGCAGGTCACTGGCAGAGTAGCTGAGAGACTCAAGTGTCTCCTATGATGCCAAGTTAGTGGAATCAGAACAGCTGTCCCTGTGGCTGGTGAGCTGGAGTTTGGCATCTCTGGGCCGACTGGAAGAGTAGTCACAGGATAGAGCAGCCTGCCTGAGCTCCCCCCTCACCCCATCAGCCCAGTGCAGCAGAGATGCCACAGATTCTGTCTTAAATCTGAGGAGTCACTATTCCCATAACATACATAACTATGTCAAGAACACACAATGCAAGCTGGAATAACACCAAAGAAGGCTGCTAAAATAATATAATAATAAATACAAAAATATATGGTACCTCCATCCAAATAATGGCATTTGAAGACTTAGCATCTTCTTCATGCTATCTTTTGCTAAGAATTCTGACCTAATCTAGGTTTGTAACATTGCTGACCTCCACTTCTCTGGAACCATACCCTTCTAAAACTAGTGGTAACAGCTTGTAATTCAGACCTGGGAAACCATGGAAGATTCAGGGCACAGGGGCCTCCCTAGCTTATTGCCACTGCCTTTCTCTGAAATCCAGGTGATGGCTTGGGACAAACCTGCTGCACCCGCTGCTAAGGGGGAGGTTCTGTCCTGCAGAGCCACTCTGGGTCACCACAGATGGGGAAATAAACTGTACTAGACACAATTTGCCTGTCAGGAGAAGGGGTTGGTGATTCTCTCTAGTGGAGAATAGGCCTGAGCCCTTCCCTTAGAAGTGTTTTTTCTTGAGAATGATATGCGTGGAGGTACACAGCATACATACAATGCCTATCAATTTACATCAAAAGGCTATAGATAATAAACTGAAGAAATACAGAGATTTGTCTTAAATCAAGGTCTGTCAGACTAGTTGGCACCGGATGTTCCTTAAGGCATAGTTTTCAGGGCTCAGAAATTATCTCCTGGCTGTGAATTAAAACACCTGGTTTTTCCTTATCAGGGCAGTGTGAAGCAGAGCAAGCTTGAGTGGGTACAATGTATTCTTTTCCAGGGCTACAGTTTCCAATGCCTCACAAAATGGTCCCCAACATCATTACTCTTTAACTCAGGGCATTGTTAGCAAATTAAGTTTCATAGGATTTAATGCATTCCTTTTCCAGGCCTAATTGTCCCCAGGAACCGCCTCATCCAGTTTGGGGCTGTATCTGCCTTTAGTGTTGTTCCACTGACCTGGTCAGGCAGGTGGAGCAGAGCAGACAAGAGATAAAGAGACTTCTTTCAGATAGAAGGAGGACTCCGGCCATGACAAAGCCAAGGGGTGAGGGTCTTTTCCCCCTTCTCCGTGACCCTCAAGTCCTTCTCTGATGGACCCTTTGTGACTGTGCCTGTCTTATGTTGCCCCTGCCATCGAGAGGTCGGTCATTGACTAACCAGCCATCCTCCCAAGCCAAGCAGGCTGATGTGAGAGGCAGGGGCTGTGCCCTTGCCAGGGGAACAGGTTTTGTCTCCTCAGTGGCCTGGTTTTCCAAGGCCTCCTTGCTCAGCTCCAGCCTTGGGGCCCCCTCACCTGTCAACAAGGCTACAGTCCCTGAAGCCAGGTGGGATGGTTCCCAACAGGCTATTATTACACACTGACTGTCAGACCCAGAGAGTGTGAACAACATATGATTACGACTAGTTAAGGATGTAAACGGATGACTTTATCACAGATTTTCACACCAACTGAGTTGGTATCAATATACTTTATATCCAGAATTCATCATTCCAGGACACAAACCAAGAAGGTACTCAGTGTCTGTTGTGTGTGTGTGTCGGGGGGTGGGGTGGGGGGGGCTTTTATTTTTTTATGGCAGCCCAAGCACACTAAAGGAATTCATTTAAAAGTTTAACTTTTTTCTTAGTTCAATGGAAAGTTCTCACTTTTAGAGAAATGAGTTCATATGTAGGCATGGTACCTGAAGAAAAGTAAAGTGGCACTTGAAATGTAGTATTTCCCTTTCCCATTTAGCCTCCTTTAGGTCTTAGAAAATGACCAACATAGATCAGAAATGGAAGCTCTTCACCTAGTAGATTGTGCTAATTTTCAACTGATGTGAGACATTAAGAGGTTTGGACTCTGAATGAGCACTTCGTTTGGGGGAACTGACTCCTCTGGCAGTGACATAGAAACATTTGATTTATATTTTGTGCTTAATAAAATCCCACACTATTCATGGTAAAAATACATCTATAACATTTATGTTCACAATTTTTGTTAATCCCCTTGACAATTTCCCAGCAAAGCATGAACAAACAATGTAAAAACTGACTCCTTTCCATTCCCTTATGCCATCCTTCTATCCGGGAATGTATCTATCTCTTTATAGAAATTCCAGCTTCTGTCTCAGAAGTTCTGATGTCTCCGAGTCTTTATTTAGCTATGCTTTTATAGATATTTTGAAATGGTAGTATCACTTGTAATGAATCTTTCCTTCTCTGGGACTAGTGACCATGTTTTGTACTGTTTCCGAAGTGTAACATAGGAAACAGGTATACATCTTTGAAGCTGAATGCTTTCATTGTCACTGGTTTTCATTTTTCACACAGACTTTGACATATTTCAGTATTGTTGGTGGAGATGCTATGAAAACTTAGGAGCTTCATTCATCAACATCCCTGGCTTTACCTCACACCATTTCTTTTCACAGAAAAATGGTAAAACCTAACAGATGACAACTAGCTTAGCAGTGTTCTTTTTAAATTTTATTTTTATTTTTTTATAGTTCAAATACATTTGTCTCCATTTTCCCACCACCACTTTCCCCAGCCCCACCCACCCCTACCTCCCACTCTAAATCCTTCCCCACTTTGGCTTTGTCCATGGCCAAAGGAACATGGCTTTATACATGTTCCTTGACTTGACCTTTCCCCTTCTTTACCCCATTACCCCCGCTCCCGCATCCCATCTGGTTACTGTCAGTTTCATTTTTCTTTCAATGTTGCTGGTTAAATTTTTCTTGCTTGTCTGTTTTGTTGATTAGATTCCACTTATAGGTGAGATCATATGGAATCTGTCTTTCACGGCCTGGCTTATTTCAGTTAGCGTAATGCTCTCCAGTTTCAGCCATGCTGTCGCAAATGGTAGTAGCTCTTTCCTTCTGCTGCATAGTATTCCACTGGTAAATGTATCAGTTTCATGATTCACTCATCCCATGGACACTTAAGTTGCTTCCAGCACTTGGCTATTGTATATTGAGCTATGAACAATGGGGTGCATAGGTTCTTCTGAATTGGTGTTTCGGGATTCTTAGGGTATAATTCCAGCAGTGGAATCTCTGGGTCAAAAGGCAGTTCCATTTTTAGCTTTTTGAGGAAATTCCAAACTATTTTCCACAGTGGCTGCACCAGTCTGCACTCTCACCAACTGTGTACTAAGGTTTCCTTTTCTCAGCAACCTTGCCAGCACTTCTTTGTTGATTGGTGATGGCCATTCTGACTGGGGTGAAGTGGTATCTCAT